GCCGTGTGGGCGCGAGGCTGCGTAGCGGCGGGAACCTGAAGGAGCTTCTCCCCGCAGCTCTCCACGCCGTCCTGGGCCTGGCCCCGGCACAGGTACGGCTGCCAGGTGGGCTGAAGGTGGAGGCTGGTTCTGCAGCTGTAGCTCTCTGACAGCCCTCCTCCGACGCCAGCCGTCGTTTGTGCTTGAGGCTTGGAGCTCTGCGCGTGCTGAATGACAGACGGTCGGAATATCGCCGCCACCTCCTGGACACCGTCGGACACGCACTCCAGCTTTGGTTCGACGTCTTCTTCACTCTTTTGATTCTCGTTCTCTGTCTGTGTCCCTGATTTGACGGAGAGGCAGGCGGCGGCGACGACGGTGGCGGCGGCTGGAGCGGTGAAGGAGAAGGGCTTGGACTCACACACCTGAGAGAGAAGCTTCTTCTTGGCCAGAGGCGACATCACGCCCTGGCTGCTTTTACAGTAGGCGGCGGCGACGACGGGTGCTGGAGCCGGAGGAGACTCCTTCAGCGTGGCACCGTAGTCTTCAGAGTCTGAGCTCAGGTCGACACACGGTCTGTCAGCCTGTTTACACATGGGCAGGACTTTACCCACTCTGCCGCCGTAGCTCTCTCTGGGCTCTTGGACCTGGACGTAGGTCTCGGGCAGGACCACGTGTCCAGCGGGTCTGTTCTGATCCCAGCGGTGGAGCAGGTAGGAGTTTTTCGGGATGAAGTTTCCTTCACTCTGCGTCAGTTTGACCTGAAGGGCTTTACTGATCTGCCTCCACTCTGAACCTGCCCCAGCCCCCAGGGGCAGGGCAGGGGCAGGAGCCCTGCAGTCTGGTTCTGCAGGGCAGAATGAAGGTGCCTGCTCCGGGGTTAGAGACTCCTCTTTTTTCAGAGTCAGATGTAACTCCTCCTCCTCGATGATGATTGGTTGGTCTACCTGAGATGACCCCTGCGTTGGGACGTCCTCCTCTGTCTCCCTGGAATTCTGCACAGGAAAAAAAAAAATTACAAACCCAGAACCTTTGAATCAGAGAGCTGGTGATGGAGGAGACACCTACTCCTGGTGTGACTGACCTGTGTTTGGTCCTCGCTCTTCACCTTCACCTCCACTTTGTCCTTTTTACTCCCCGGCCTGGAGCTGCTGTGGACCTTGACCTTCTTGCTGCTCACTCCCTTGGACCTGACCACTGGACTCTTCTCTTGGCTGCTCTCCGGCTTCCTGGGTTTGACCAGTGGGAGGGGCTTGTCCTGCTCCCCTTTCAGGTTCCTCTCATAAGGAAGTAGGAGCCTGAGGAGAAGATGGACACGTGGTCACGTACCAGAGGAACGACTGTAAACAACAGTTCTTTCTTTGAGGACGAATCAAAGAAACACAAGTCAGAAACAAGTGAAATCTTAAAGGAAAATGAACTGAAATGTGGATTTGAAGTTCAATGTTAGTTACAAAAGAGTTAGCTGCTGACCAAGAGTTAGCTGCTGACCAAGAGTTAGCTGCTGACCAAGAGTTAGCTGCTGACCAAGAGTTAGCTGCTGACCAAGAGTTAGCTGCTGACCAAGAGTTAGCTGCTGACCAAGAGCTAGCTGCTGACCAAGAGTTAGCTGCTGACCAAGAGTTAGCTGCTAACAATCAACTCTTCTGATGTGTCCATGTCTACAGAATCCTCAGTTATTTCTTATTTTACCGTAAAAGCTGCAGATCCAGTGTGTGTGTGTGTGTGTTCGTGCTTGCGTGTGTGTGTGATGTCAGTTTGATCAAATCCAGAAGAGCTGCTCATGTTCGCTCCAAATCAAATCCAGAAACACAGAGAGAGAAAAAAAAAAACTCAACTATTTTTGACGTGTGTTTTTTTTTTCTCTCTGAATTTTCCCAAAGTCAATTTTCCGTGTCTGATGTCATAACTAATGGGAACATTAAGTGGAGGATAAGAGAACAACAGCCGTGTGTAAAATAATCAAGTGCAGGAAGCAGAGGAGGAAACTCTGAGGCTTTCACTGCTCAGAAAGGAAAATGGAAAAAAAAAAAAAAAGTTTCAACATCCAAAAATGTTAACAGCTGCTCTGAAATCCTCGCTCACTTCTCTACAACAACAGTCCATAAAAGCAGGGAAGGAACATGAGAGGAAATAAGATCTTCTGTGAGGACTTTTCCTTTTTAGGCTGTAAAACAAAGCAAGAATCAATCAGAGAAAAAAAAAAAAAAAAAACACACACAACCCTGTTCTCTCTGCTCCAAACTCTGAGAGGGAAGAGAGAACAGATTTCATACATGTGCTGTGATCCAGGCCTCAGGGGAGTGGGG